GCAAAAAAATAATGTTTATGTAACCCCAGGTTGGAAATTCTGCAGTAAATGTTACAAAAAAGGAATAGAAACTGATGAAGATTTAAATTCACAGGAGGAATGGGAATCAAAAAGTGAGAAAAAAATTAAGTTAGATACCACTATAGAATTGCTTGGAATCTCACCGGTCAAACTAAAAAGTCTTTCAAAACACAGCAAATTGCCTGTAGCAAAACAAAAGTTTGAGAACACTATTGACAGAGTTGCAATAATGGTCTCATTAGCATATAATATTAAAGAAACTTTTTTAACAACAGAAATAAAAAGCCCCATTTTAAACAACATTAACAATAATCATGATCTAGACATTTTAATGTATGAAATAAAAAATAAAATTTCAGAGACTGACTCTTATCGCCATAAGGTGCAAATGTTAACACTCGCACCAAAATCATGGACACGTAAAAAGATATCATGCTACTTTGAAGTGTCTGAGTATCTTGTTCGAACAGCAAGAAAAGTTAAAAATGAGAATGGAATTCTATCATTACCCGGGAAAAAGACTGGAAATCCACTTTCACCAGAAACAGTTAATTTAGTGATTAACTTTTATCAAAGTGATGAATTTTCAAGAATGATGCCAGAAAAAAAAGATTATGTAAGTATTAAGAAAAACCAACATGTTCAAAAAAGATTATTGCTACTCAATCTTAATGAATTACATGTTGCATTTAAAAAAGACTACCCTAACGTCAAAGTCAGTTTGTCAAAGTTTTGTACTCTTAAACCTAAATGGTGTATTACAACTAATGCGTCAGGTACCCACAATGTATGTGTTTGCATACATCACCAAAATACAAAATTTCTCATTGATGCCATTAGGTGGAATAAAAGTTATAAAGATTTTATGGCATTGATTGTTTGCTCTCTTGAAAATGCAGAATGTATGTTGCATCAATGTAACCAATGTCCTGGTATTGAAGCGTTAAAAAGTTTTTTAGTGCAGGAGTTTATGGACCATGAGCATGAAGAAGATGTAGTATTTAAGCAATGGCAGAGTACAGATCGTACAACACTACTTTCACAGTCATTGCCTCTAGATGAATTTATTGATTTATTATGTGACAGTATTGACAACCTTACCACTCATTCATATATTAAAAAACACAAAGTAGATACTTAAAAAACTGTAAAGAAAATCTTAACCAAAACGAATGCCTAATTTTAGGAGATTTTGCTGAAAACTATCAATATGTTGTTCAGGATGAGGTTCAAAGTTATCACTGGAGCAAAAGTCAATGCTCACTTTATACAGTTGTACTTTATTTTATAGAGAACAAACTTCTCAAACATAAATCTTTTTGTTACCTTTCAGAAGATGTTGATCATGACACAAGATTTATTTACAAGACTCAGGAAGATATAACTAGATATATCAAAGAAAATCTACCTGATGTATCAAGTGTGAAATACTTTTCTGATGGTAGTACAGCACAATTTAAAAATTTTAAAAACTTTATCAATCTTTGTCATCACAGTAAAGACTTTGATTTAAATGCTGAATGGGTATTTTTTGCTACCAGTCATGGTAAATCCCCCTGTGATGGTATTGGTGGGACTGTTAAAAGAGTAGTATGTCAAGAAAGTCTAAAACAAATAACTACTGGGCAGATTTTAGATGTTAATTTAATGTACTCCTTTTGTAAAGCCAAGATAAATGGAATTTATTTTAAGTTATTTTCAAAAGAAGAAATTGATCAAACACGAGCACAATTAGAAAAAAGATATTTAGGTGGAAGAACAGTTCTTGGCACAAGGATGTATCATCATTTTATTCCAATTGCTCCAAACACTATAAGTTATAAAAAAATAAGTATTGATGCATGCACTGAAATATTTTATATCATTCCAAAAAGCAAACATTATGTAGATATTTCATTAAATATTAAAAAAATGGATTATATTGCATGTTTTTATGATGGATTTTGGTGGGTAGGGATTGCTGAAGATGTAAGTGAGCTTGATGTAAAAGTCAGATTCATGCATCCACATGGACCAGGTAAAAGCTTCTTTTGGCCAATAAGAACTGATGAGTGTTGGGTGCTCAATTCTGAAGTTATATGCCTAATTACTACACCCACAACAATATCAGGTCGTACATACAACATAACTGATTTAGATTTGGAGAATATAAACTGTTGGTTACAAAAAAAAATTAATTATGCTTAAAATAATTTTGTTTTTATTTTATTTACCTAATTTACATTTTAAATGTCTTTCATTTTTTTCAAATCCTTGGATTGTAGGCTGAGAAGGAGGGGTGGGGGTTTAAAAAAATCACAAATCACTCCCATCTTATTATGTCAATGACTATATTAGTCTAAAATTACATAAAGATATTTATTGTCAATATGTTTTAAAAACATTTTAAAACATTTGTTTTTGAAATTTATGACTTAAAATCGTAAAAAGATCTTTGAAATAAGAGGTAAGTATTTATCGATTTGAAGTAACGCAAATAAATCATTTCTCAAACTTAAACTGAAAAAATATGTTTTTAAAATGTATTTTAACAATCAACTATTATTTATTCATTTTATGTAAAAAAAAAAAAAAAAAAATCTAGGGAGATTTGGGGAGGGGGCGGAGGGGACTCCCGTGGGTAGGGATGGCATCTTCCTTGGCCCATGACTTTAAATGTTTATTTAAATTTAAACTAGTCAATAAATAACACTATTTGGTGTTTTATCCAAATAAATGTTTAAAAAAATATTTTAATTGCTTTTGTTACAAAATTTAAATTTTTCTAAAAAGACACCATTTTTTAAATGCAAATTTTGATCACGTATTAGAGAGACAATTGATGAATCTAATTTTTTTCAGTAGACCTAAGATGAAATAATGATATACAATTAAAACTTTTACTCGGGATTTTGGGCCACAGTCTTTATTTTACCTCCAAAAATCACTAATTTACAAGTCAATAATTTTGAACAAAATTGGATAAATGAGGCATTTCTTGAGATAATTGAGTTTTAAGAGTGCTATTTTTGGATTCCTTAAGTTAAAATCTTTTAGAGTACCAAATTTTAGGAAATTTCTCCAAGCCGTTATGAAGATACTGTATGTCAAAGTTGCTTTGTAGTCGCTTCAGAAAATCACTAAAATGCTGAGTCAGCATTATTTCAACTGACGATATCTCTGGAACCCATTGGTATTTTCAACTAAAATTTTTGCAGTTATTATTTTTTTGATATGGACTGCAAGTGGTGTAAAAATAAACAAATTCTGAGACGTAAGGGTGTCGAAAATTATTTTTTTTGGATGATTTCATATATTTTTACCCTAAGGGGTTTGTAGCTTCTCCGCTTGACACATTCATCATAACATTTCAGTAATTTATCAAGCTTTGCTTATATAACTTGATCAGATAGATGAGGAAAATTCAGTTTATTCTTCCACAATTTGGTGACTTTTTTGGAAATTTCTGCTATTTGCTCCTTTCTTCCTTTGATTTTTTGTCCAAGAAAATGGTAGCATCCAATAATTTGCTTTTGGAGAGGCATTCTGCACTTTTTTTCCAGTGATTATTCTTCCAAAGGGACCATTTTTCGTTATTTATGAGAGTCCTTAAATTTTACCATTATTGGTCTGGACATCCTTGTTCTTCTGAACGCTACTACCCCTAGGCTTGTACTATGCCATGTGTTGCTTCTGTAATAACTATAAAATTATATGAGCAGCTATATATAGTCTAAAACGTTTTTTAATATTCCAGAATGTTCTAAACTGTTCTAGAATGTTCCAAAATATTTTAAATTGTTCTAAAATGTTCTTAATTGTTACAGAATGTTTTGAATTGTTCTAGAATGTTCTAAAGACTTTTAAAATATTTTGGTTTTTTCCAAAATGTTCTAAAGTTCTAAACACTTCTAATCTATACAAGTTTTAAATGATTTGCAGGAAAGCAACACATATTAGTAGTAGCAGAAACAAGATTAAATAAATGACAAAACGTAATTTAAATAACGGGGTGACCATTTTTTATAACCAAGAGAAATTGAACATGTTTGCTATGTTTTCTAATAAAAGTTCATCGATTTATGAGACAGAAAATTATTTTTTTTATTAAAAACTCAAAGTCATAACCCTAATATATCTTAACTATTACATTTATAAGTATTCATTGTTTTATGTATAATGAAAGTTGTCTAATAAAAAAAAAGTTTAAAAAGAATGATCTTATTTACTTTAAAAATTTTTATTTTTGAAAATTATGGTTATAAAAAACCAAAAAAACTCGAGTATAAAAAGGTCTTATTTGTTTGTTATTAACTTAATATGCTTAAATATTTCTGGCCATAAATACTCGTGTTGTGTTGCTATAAATTAATGAAATAGCTTTAAATATTTTTTCATAGTTCAAATAAAAATCAGAAAAATATTAGACAAGTGTATGAAAGATAAAGAAATAAGTAAATAAATGCATGATGATATTTTGTATGAAAAATCAACATTAAAACTTTGTTTAAAAATTTTATACAAAATTTTAATAAAATTTGGGCTAAAAGTTGCTATAAATTAATGAAATAGCTTTAAATAATTTTTCATAGTTCAAATAAAAATAAGAAAAATATTAGACAAATGTATGAAAGATAAAGAAATAAGTAAATAAATGCATGATGATATTTTGTATGAAAAATCAACATTAAAACTTTGTTTAAAAATTTTATACAAAATTTTAATAAAATTTGGGCTAAAAGTTGCTATAAATTAATGAAATAGCTTTAAATAATTTTTGATAGTTCAAATAAAAATAAGAAAAATATTAGACAAATGTATGAAAGATAAAGAAATAAGTAAATAAATGCATGATGATATTTTGTATGAAAAATCAACATTAAAACTTTGTTTAAAAATTTTTTACAAAATTTTAATAAAATTTGGGCTAAAATAAAATTTTACATATTTTTTTAAACAGTATTGAATTGTTTAGTAAATCTTTATGAAAGCAACCTCACCTGACAACATCATCATAATTGTTTCTGTATACACCCTCAAGATATTCTGAAGGATAGCCCATTGCAATTATATTCAGCTTGATATCTAAAAAACTTATTTAAGGATTTAACTATAAACACTTTGTTTAAAAATTCAAAATTACTAAAGGACTAACATACATTATCATGTTAGTAACATAACTAGATGACCATTAATCGGATTAGCAATATATCAATTATATTGGATAACAACCAAATTTATGCAACTTTAAATCATGTTCAAAATCATTATATAACACTTAAAATCTGATCAAAATTAAAATTGAACCGGATCAAAAATTAAAATTTGGAAATAATTATAAAATAAATTAATAAAAAATTTAAGTTTATATTTTATATTTTATTATAAAATAAGGTCTTCTGAAAAAGATACATGAGAGGTCCAAATCAAACTCATTGTCAATGTATCTTCTTTTTTTTTTACTAACCACACGCTTGATGTAAGTCATCTCCTTTCTATTCTAGTCAATAATCTTTAGTTAACCAAATAAAATCATTTTCATGCCAAAAAATTGATGTCCTAATATTAATTTAAAATTTTATTTATACAAATATTTTTTACCTATCAAATAATTAAAAACTTACAGTTTTATATCTATATACAAATTCACTAGCACACAAAATAAGACAATAATGTGAACATTGTTTTCTTAATTTTTTCATTAAGTTGTTCATCCAATCTAGTAGAATATACAGTCCTTAAAATCTAGCCATGACAACTGATATGGAAATCAACAAGCTAACCTGTAAACCTCATGATCAAATAGTGATTAGTTATTCAAGACATGACAACTGCTGTTTTTTTAATTAATGAATTTCTATTTAATACTTACTTACCATTTAAATAACTGTTAAGAAACAACACAGTTAACCTTTTTAAAATATACTTATCATTTAAAAAGTGTAATTAATAAATATATAATCAACTAATATTTTATTATAAATAACATTACTTATTAAATATTAAGTTCACACAAATTTGGAGCTAGTAGTTACAATAAACTAGTAGCATTACCAGTCTAGGTAAAGTAAAGTATTTTTTTATCTATAGCTTTTCCATATTTTTTTATTTTAAAAAAAAGTCTTTTTTTTAAATAAATATTTTATTTATTAAATATCTAATAAGTTTAAAATAACTATAAAACTATTATAATCTTTAATAAATTACTCTATAGCTAATGACATTAACTATGTGTAGTCAAATAATATTGTTATAATAATTTTTTAACATTAAAATAATCTCTGCTTAGGTAAACATCTAAATCATATGTTGCAAGAACTCTTTTAAATCAAATCAGAAACATCAACACTCAGCTCAACGAAATATGAAATACCTATACATATAATCCCTATTATATATTTATTTTAAGTAAGTTATAGCAACATTAAAGTTACAAAAAAAATTATAAACAGTTTAACAACGGAAAAATTGACTTCTATAAAAGCACCAGCTGCTGATTCTCATTCTGTGCTAAAAATATTACCATCTGTCTAAACTCTTATGCAATTTGCTAAAGAATATTTGTATCAACACAAAGTAAACTTCAGCTCTTTGTTAATATCCAATGTTAAACAGGAATGACTACTTTTTAAAGATAAGAAGTACAAAAACAAGCCATTGCTCCTTAATAACAGAAACTTATACATAACACTGGTCAACAAAATGGAACTTTTTGTTCATATCATGAATAAAAATATTTTTTTCTGGATAAACTTTTCACTCTGATTCCAAATATCTATTTAGTTTTTCTCGATCACGTACACATTTTGAGATAAGGGCCCCTCTTATTTTGCAAATCTCAGGGAAATTAAGACATTTGCCTTAAGTTGTGTTGTATGAAATTGCATCTCCTACCCTATTACTATCTTAGATCAGTACAATTGTCAACAATTTAAGTCAGTATTAACATTTACAATGTTTTATTCACTACAATTATCACAACATTTGCTCAAAATCGCCGTGAATACGACTTTCTTTTAAAGACTTTGTCTGGGTTGTCACGATAAAGCATCCAGCAGTAATCACCCATCATGTTTACATTCCAAAACCCTTGATAGCGATTTTCCATCAGTTGAATATCTTGATGAAATCGTTCACCTTGTTCATCACTCACTGCACCCAGATTTTCAGGAAAAAATTTCAGATGGGAATGTAAAAAGTGCAACTTCAAAGACATGCGACATCCCATTTTTTGATATGAATCGAGCAGCTCTTGAATGCCTGCTTCATATTCAGGTGACTTGTGGTTACCAAGAAAGTTAGCACAAACCCAAGTAAAGGCTTGCCAAGCTTCCTTTTTTTCATCTGTGAGAGAATTTTTGAAATTAATATCTCGTAAAACCTCTCTAATTTGAGGTCTGACAAAAATTCCTTCTTTCAACTTTGCTGCACTCATTTTTGGAAATTTTTCCACCAAGTATTGAAATCCAGCTGAATTGGATTTCCCCATTGCTTTTACAAAGTTCTTTATCAAGCCAAGTTTGATATGTAGAGGAGGTAAAAAAATCTTTTGTGGATCGACCACAGGAATATTTTCAACACTATTTCTTCCTGGCTCATACTCATTCCTTTGGTCCCAATCTTGTTTCACGTAATGTTCTGTTACAGCGCGGCTGTCCCACAAACACAAGAAACAGCAGAATTTTGTGAAACCCATTTGCATGCCCATCAGCATGCCAATGACTTTTAGATCACCACAGATATTCCATTGATGAGTTTTGTAGTTAATTGCCTCAAGGAGAATTTTCATGTTTTCATGCGTCTCACTCAGATGAACAGAATGAGCAATTGGTATGCAAGGCTTTTGATTTCCCTTATGCAACAACACAGCTTTCAAGCTTTGCTTTGACGAATCGATGAACAAATGCCATTCAGAAGGTTCATGCGGCTGTGATAAACTTTCAAACAGTCCACTGATGTCATTGCAATAGCACAATGGGCCATCAACAGTAAAAAATGTAGCTAATTGAAGATTACGCTTTCGATAGTGGCTTTTTCCTTTGATAAGGTTAAGTCTCGGACCAAATCATTTAGTTCTTCTTGAGTGAATACTTCTGGCATTTTTTTGACATCAGGTGAATAGTCAAGATCAGCAGTATCTTGATGTTCATCACAAGAGTCCACTTCCATCTCATCTTCGACAGAATCTAATCCATCTATTGGAGGCATTGGAACTGGTGATAAGGGGTCATGTGGAACTGGCCTCATTGCCGAATCCAAATCTGGATAAACGATTTTGTGCCTATTTTTCGATGAAAATCCAGTTGTATTAACAATGCAAAAATAACAATCAGTTACATGATCCTTTGGCTCCCTCCCTACCATGGGTATGGCAAATGAAAATGCAGTTTTCCGTTTGTGAAGCCAGTCACGCAATCCACTAGAACAGCTTGTGCAAATAACATGTGGAGCCCATGTTTTATCTTGGTCACCTAACGAACATCCAAAGTACAATTTGTAGATTTTTGACAATTTCGCTGTAATTTTACGCCGCTGACCAGACAATGTAAATAAGCCGCATACATAACAAAAGGTGTCAGGCTGATTCTTGCATTTTCTTGGCATCTTGATAAATTATTTTATAAAGATTAAATCAAATATGAAATGAGGAATAATATCATTAGTAATTGCCACTAATCTCAAAACATAAGGCATGTCATCTCAAAAACTAGACGTGCTACAAAAAAACTGAGCACAGATTTGAATTTCTGGGCCACCCAAAATCGAGTCTGATGAAAAACTGTTGTTGACCAATGTAATCTTTTTTGCACGTTTTAGAAGATTGACTATCAATTCAGAAATTTGATGTTCTTTCCGCAATTCAATTAAGTGGAGTGATAAAGACAAAAAAAAGCTAGGAACATTCAGCAACAAAAAACGACTGTTTTTCATGGCAACAGTGGTAGTAAAAGTTGAGGAGATTTTATTGAATCTCTTTTTGATTGCAATTTCAAAACAATTCCAAATTGTTTAAAAAAAAAAATTTCTTTTTTTTTTGTCATAAAAAAAAGTACTCTTCTTTTTTGATACCTCAATATTTAATTCGATACACAAATAAAGTCAATACCTGGCCGTATACTTAATACAATATTAGTTACACAAATAATAAAGTCAATACCTGGCTGTATATAGAACTCATTGATATCGATATTAGAACAAACAGAAAAAAATACATCAAGTCCTTTTCTTTTGTTGTTGTTGTTTTTCATTTATAACAATGTTAAAATTTTTCAACTAAAGTAAATCCCTTTAAATTTAAACACCTGTAAAACTTTAGAATTAAACTTTTAAAATATGGCTTTTAAACAATACTGTTAATACAAATACTGTTGTCATATTTAGGTTAGTCGTTTTAATGATAGCCTTTCTTCTTAGACAAAGTCTAAAAATGCACTGAAAACTTAATTGAACCTGTTCTAGCTGCCAAATTTAATCTAATCATGGAAGTGATCTATAATCTACTATCTACATATGAAGGGTTATGACAAAATAAATTGCTTTTTTCACTTTACTTTTTTTTCTTTTCAAAAAAATTGGCTGGATTTCAGGAGTTTATCAAGACAGTGTTAACGAAAACCAGAAAAACTATGTGTATATGTGTGTATGTGTTTAAGAATACAAAATTAAACATAACATAACTATGATGTAATCAATAAGAAATTAAATAAATGGGACAGTTTTTAAATGGCAGTAATAAGACCAAACCAGTGTTCTTTTTGGTAACTTAAAAATCAAGATTTTATCTTTTTCAATTTTCTTTTTTTTTTAATTTTTAACAACAAGCATGTTAAAAAGTAGACAAGAAAATGCATAACTAAGTATACAATTTTTTTCAAATTTCATTTTTGTTGTTAAACTTGTTTCTATTTTTAATTGCTTTTGTTTTTAATATATTAAACTGCATTTATAATATATTCGATAAAAATCTGTTATAAAGTAAAAGTTTATTATTAACAATTGTTCTTACCCTATTCAGTTGCTCTTAACCTAAAAAATGTATAAAAAATTAAATCGTGTCAATCTATATAAGTTCGAAATACATTCTAGAACTTCTATAAAAATTAATTACTCATATCAGGCCCAGCTAGAGAGAGGTATTACCACTCATTACTTATTACTTCAAAGTAAAAAAATAGAAATAATACTATTAGGTAATCATGCAATAAAGCGGCTTAAAATAATTTATTTTTGAGCTTCTGGAGATTCGTACAGATTTAAAACCTTTTATATGAAAACAAAAATCAAATTAAATAAATTTAAAGTAATCAGTTTTATTATTATTACTTTTTATGATTGTTTGATTTTTTTGTTGCTGTTGTTTATTTTCAGGAATTTTTTCATGTTTAAGGAGAATAATTTTTTTACACGTGGTTCCGGGTTGCAATTAGAAATAAATAATATGTATCCAAAAATGGCCAAACATGGTGAAAATTAGGGATCGTCCATAAACTACGTCACGCATTTTTTGACAGATTTTGACCTCCCCACACCTCCCCCTCGTCACAAGTTTTGTATGTCGTCACAAAACTACCAACCCCCCTCCTCTCCCCCTTAGAGCGTGACGTAATTTATGGACGGACCTTAGCTAAATGCATTTGTTCAATTTTGAAAATGTAAATCTTATTGGTTCAAACAAGACAATTCAGTTCATAATTTACAATAAAATATGAATAAAAAGTTTTTATTCATTCTTTAAGTGTAAATTATAAACTATTTAATAGTAAACAATGATTATTGTATACGGGTAGGTGTCACGTGGGGGGGGGGGTGCCATTACAACTTCTGCTAAAATCATCAATGAGGGGTGTCACACTTCCCCCCCCCCCCCACACACACACACGCTCCTATCGCGTCAGCCTTGATTGTATACTTTTTGTCGAAAAATAAAATTTATAGGGGATCGCCTAAAAAGCCGAATTCTAAAACGCCGAAAAGCCGAAATGCCGAAAAAAATGGCGTAATAATAGACTTCGGTAACCGTCAAAAAAAACAACGAAAAGTTAAATATCCCCCGGATTTTTTATTGCGCATTTGTAAATGCAAAGTTTAAAAGGACTTCTGTCCTTTTAAACTTGGCAAAAGCCAAATTTGGCTTTTGGTTCTGTCCTTTCAAACTTTCGCGAATAAAAATAGAAAAAGAGACGAAATAAAAATTAATGTTATAAAATTATTTTGAAACTTTTTTGCTAATTTTATATTTAGTTGTGTTATCGAAAAAATTTGCGTAAAAATTATTAACTAATTAAATATTAAAATTTTTAATTAGAGTTATTCATTATGACCAGGGTGAACCATAAAGCAAGCGAATTCTCATAAATAATTGCACAAGAAAACACAAGAAAAAAGATAAAAACCCTTGTTGTTGTGTAAGAGAAACTACTGGTACACTACAACAATTCTAACCAAACTTGGTCCTTAAGCAGAGAACATCTTTTATGATAATATTTCTTGTTATAGGTTGGAAAATATTCTATGTATTATATATATTCTATGTATTATATGTATATGAAAATATTCTATGTATTATATATATATATTCGAGGTTGGAAAATATTCTATGTAGGCTTTAAACTCATGTAAGAATGAATCCTTGCACACTGAGCAACATTGACAAAAGATATCTTTGAGAATCTCTACCAATAATTTGCGCCTTCTACGAATCTTTTCCCGCATTCAAAGCTTTTGTGAGCGATGTTAAACAGACCAAAACATTGAAACATCGCAAATGACAGAACAAAATATACCTTTTAGCTTTTTTGGTCTCATTAAAGAGTTAAAGACTTTTTAGAAAGAGTTTTTTAATATACCTTGTTTTAAATATATATGGGTTTGAATCACATCAATTATTTCATTAAATAGAATAAAGCCTCGTGTAATCTCTAAAATACGCGGGCAATTAATTGCAACATATTTTTTTTCTAAGATTAAAGAGTTAATTCTTATAAATTTTAGGTCGCTGAATTTGAAAAAGTTATCAAAAAAATTCCATCATGTAAGGTTTTTCTAAAAAACGCAAAATGCTGTGGGATTGTTTATTTTAGGGCGCAAAACGGGGTTTATTGCCAAAATATATATTATTTTATTTATTAACTTATTATAAGATAATTTTATGTTTCGTAGGCTAAAACAAAATATTTAGTAACTCATGAAGTATGTTTATTCATGAAGTATATTTAGTAACTCATAAAATATTTAGTAACTCATATTAGTAAGCGTTGAACCATATATATATCGGGATTTTCCATAGTAAGTATGGAAAATCCCGATATATACAAAACAACAATGAAATATTACTGAATTTGTTAAAAATGTGTACTTGTGTATCTTGGTGTGAAGATAGGCAATCAGGACAAATTTTGGGCTCCGCATGGAGTTTGTTCAGGGTGCGTTGAAGAACTTAGAATGTGGTCAAAAGGTAAAGTTAAATCGTTTCGTTTTGGTGTACCCATAATCTGGAGAGAGCCTCGAAACCACAGCGATGACTGCTACTTTTGTTCGTGTTATGTGCAGGGGTATAGTACCAAAAATAAAAAATAAATTTTTTATCCAAACATGGAATCGACACTCCACCCAGTCCCTCACGGACCTGGCATTCCTACACCACAAGCACCCCAAAGTCTAGATGATTTACCATCATTAGAAAGTGAATCAGAAGAAAGTTCTTGTGACGAGTTTCAGTTAGGCGACTACAGTAGTCCTCAACATTTTTTTCAAGCTGAATTAAATAACCTGATCCGAGATTTAGGACTCTCAAAACAATCTGCTATTCAAAACATATCTGCAAAATAAATATTTTGAGCCCTTATTTTCCTCAATATGGTGAGATGGTCTATTGTTCCGATAACAATGGGTTAATATCCATGTTCAAAGTTCAACATATGGCTGAAAGTTGGAGACAGATTATTGATTCTTCAAAAAGAAGAATAAAAGCTTTTTTACTTCACAACAAGAATAAGTACGCATCAATACCCGTTGGTCACTCAGTGCATTTGAAGGCAACTTATTGTAACTTGGCATTGATCTTGGATTAATTAAAGTACAAAGAATTCGAGTGGACAGTTTGTGGGGATCTTAAAGTAATTTCTATGATACTTGGACAGCAAGGTGGTTACAAAAAATTACCTTTTTTCTTTGTTAATGGGATAGTCGTGCTAAAACTAAACACTGGAAGCAAAAAGTGTGGCCAAAAAGAACATTGAAGATCGGAGATGAAAACGTGCACTTTGAATCTTTGGTAGATCCTAAAAAGGTCCTTCTACCACCACTCCATATCAAACTTGGCATGATGAAGCAGTTTGTGAAGGCATTGCTAAAAGATGGTGAGACATTTAAATTTTTTTCAAGCAAGTTTCCTGGTCTGTCTGAAGCAAAGCTGAAAGAGGGAGCTTTTGTTGGTCCTGACATTCGTGAGCTAATGAAAGATAACAACTTTGAAAATATGGTGAACTATGTTGAGAGGTCAGCATGGAATTCTTTTAAAGACGTAGTAACAAATTTTCTAGGGAATCAGAAAGACTCGGACTTAAAAAATATCGTAGAAAATATGTTGTGCAATTCTAAAAATCTGGGATGCTCAATGAGTTCAAAACTCCATTTTTTGAACTCCCATTTGGATTACTTCCCGGAAAATCTTGGTGCAGTTAGTGAAGAGCAAGGTGAGAGGTTTCACCAAGATATAAAAGAAATGGAGAGAAGGCATCAAGGTCGATGGGATACAAATATGATGGGCGACTACTGCTGGATGCTGCATAGGGAAAATGTAACATCCCACAAAAGAAAAAGCTCTAAACGAAGCTTCGAAACTAAAAAAACTAGATTTTATAAAGCTTTATAGTTGTATATAATGTATACAAATTATTTTATGATTTAAAATGAACCAAATTTGCATAGTTTTACCATTTTTTTTCTTCTTATGATTATTGTCTAAAATAGTAGTGTAAGGCGGGCTTTGCCCATATTTTATTTTCGACTTAGCGGAAAATCCTTACGTAATGGGTCGAAATGGATGGTATTATTGAAACCAGCATACCAAAATACATATAATCCACCCATTCCAAAAAAAAAAAAAAAAGTTTTAATTTGCAGACCTGTGTAGTTAATAAATATATTTTAAAGCTCCATTATTTATAAAAACTTAAAAATTTTAGTAGTAATAGCAAATATAAAATGCGAATTAAAAAAATATTGGCGGTACCCACATAGACCGTAATAAATTTTTAAATGTTAAAACTTTTTTTTAAAAGTTAGTTATTAGAGAAATAATTATTTAGCACCGATACTGTTACTTTCTAAATTAATTGATGATGTCAAGTGTAGGAATAAAAAAAGAGTTTCTTTAAAATTACAAATAAAAACGTTTTTTCATATTTTGGAGCACTGTTAAATAATATATAACAAAAACGAATAAAATGCAAAAGAGTAAGAAAACCCAATTTACTATGTGAAACATAATTTTTAATTTTGGAACTGAAAAACTGATATTGTTACATTAACTATGCACAACATCCTGTGCTGAACACAACCAGCCATATAATAAAGGCTACCATTCACCTGATTATTTACAAACTAATTGTCTTTTTTTAATTAATCACATATATAAGTAATTTTATCTTTTATCAAGTCGATCGTGCAACGATCTTTATGCTAGAGCAACGACAATCAGTTTCTTCAATGAATTCATGTTTGCTGAGTAATTTCAACCGTTGAAGACTAAAACTGTTCATTACTCGTTTTGCTGATATAACATAATTATCGCCATTTAGTATCTACAGATAAATAAATGTTTCATAATATTTAATAATAAGGCTAAATAAATTGGATTGAATATGAAGTGATTGAGTTTTAAAAAAATTTGAAACAGCAATTGTCAAATAAAAATCACTGCCAAATTTATGCCTTATAAATTAACACTTTTGAATAAATGAGTAAAAAGTCTTCTTAAGTAATGTTTTTATTTCACCCACCCACAGTATATATAAAATAAGAAAAGTATTGGGTTGTCTATATTTTAAAAATGACAAATATCTTATGTACCAGCAACAAAAAAAGTATATAACCTGTCAATGCCAAATTCACTTTTAAGAGTTTTTGAAAGATGCCAGGAAGAAAGGATTGGTAATCTTCTGAAATTGATTTTTCTTATTACTTCTTGTAGTATATAGACTAAAGCCAGATTAGTTTGTGAAAAGTACTGTAACGTCTAATTTCCTTGCCCTCTCACATTTTAGAAGCTACATCAGCATACACTAAAATACATTTTAAAAAATAATTTATTTTTTAGAATTTATCAATAAAAAAGAAAAACCTTATAAGCTGTTTACCTGAAACATGGGTCAATGAGACTTTTATATATTGGCATACAAGCTGGTTGCCAGTGTTTTTACATACACCCATATTCAAAGTTAATTTTTGATATCATTTGAAATAGATGTCAACCTATATCGCAATTTTCGGGTGTCTATGTTACATAAATCTATCTATGTTAAAGAAGTTTTACATAACATGAAAATATATAACAATATATAACTATTTTATGAAAATTTGTATTATGATGCAAAACAAAACAATACCAATTATACCAGATTTATTGGTAAAAAAAGCAACAACTTTAAAAACATTTTCTTTTCTACTATTACTAAAAGTATTTAAAACTAAATACTATATGAAAACAAATGGGTATAAAAAAATATCTAACACAAGGAAAATTTTAACTAAAACTTCTTTCAAATTATTCGCAAACTCACTGTAAGTGTTTCAAAAGCTATATATAAATAACAGAAATTACTCTAATAAATAAAAAAACACAACTTTTTTATTATAAAACATAAATATATCATGTTAGTTATAATATTATCACTATATAGTAAAAATGAATCTAAAATCTTAAAACTTTACAGTGCAATTCATATCAGTTCAAAAAGCATTAATCAATAAGATAAATGACATGGTTTGCAACTTTATTTTGCCAATTATATGGTATCATCTTGGTTAGTTTTCCATTTTTTTGCATACCATCATAAAAAAACCATTGATCTCTTATGTAGTGCAAAGATGTAAAGTGAGCATTAAGTCCAAGAGTTATGCATGCCAAGGAAAAGTAACATTTTTCAATTAAAATTTTTTTTGGCAAATTCATCAGCGAAGAAATTGAAATGTTAGGAATATCACACTCAATCACAATCATCCAAGTATTTTGAGATTTTAATGTCGTGCAACAGTGATTTAATTCTTTATTGCCACAAACTAAACAATTTAGAAGCAATCTTTTATCTTTCAAATAACCTAGCAAATAGTCTGTTGGGTCATGGTTTGGAGGCAGTTCTATAAAATCAAAAGGATGAAAAGAACTATTTAAACATGTAAAACATTTTCCAACACTCTTGAATGTAAATGCTTCTTTAAAGTGGTTGAAAAAAAATGTTTTAGATGATCCATATAAGTTAAAACAAGGTGAGCTTGTAATTTGTATTTTACTTTTTAAAAAGCATGCCCAGATTTCTTTACCATAATTGTCATCATCATTATTTAAATATCTCATTGCTTTTTTAAGCTCTATTTCTGCTTCTGAAGTACCAAGGTGATTTAAAAAGTACTTATCTGCATGGCAACGCAACTTCAACATTGTTAAAGTGTTATCAATTGTGCAACTGTTTAAAACCAAACCAACACCCCATTGAAGTCCTCTTGGAATAGGATATTTTATTTCAGGCACAGTAGATTGCTCATTCTGCTTTATACTGAAACTTTCATTTTTTGGAACTGCAAGTTCACAAAAATTCAATGTTTTTAAATTTGAATCAATATCACATTTCCTTGGGGTTTTTTTGCCTGATTTTCTCTCAACTTTAAGCCTATTTTTTTGTATAAGTGAAGTTAAGTTTCTTTTTTTCCCTTCAAAGTTTTCTAAACTATTTACATTTCCAGAGAGATATTGAACTGCTAAAATGTGAACACAATTTTTCAAGGCACCACAAGTACAATGTGCAGGTGGGTTCAAATTTACAGAATGAATAATTGTTTCTGATTCTTTCACTGACCAACTTCGATTTTAGGGAACAAATACAACACTGTTTTTATTTAATATATCCTTTGCTAATGAGGATATTGAATAAACAAGTTTTGGAAGATCACTTTTAACTGGTTTTTCAACTAACATCTCTATAGAAGCATAAGGAGAAGAAATATTGTTATGATCTTTGTAATGTATTTCAGTTTCTTTTATATGCTTTACTATGTCATCTGGTAGGATGATTTGATTAGCGCTAAGTTCATCTCTTGATCTTAACATAAAGGCAAACTCATCACTTAACTGATACAAACCAACATTATAGTATCCCTTTTCAACTTCTCTGTGAAAATAGGCACTGAGATAATTCATAGCTAAAATGCAAGAGTCCATTTTTGTTATTTTGTTGTCAATAAGATCCTTAATAACTTTATTTAAAGACTCTGACGCATTATTGGTAACACCAAAGTTTGGGTACTTTATCCCTTCTTCTGCTAAAACAAATGCAGCAGCACGAGAAATAACATCAGAGTGCATGTATTGAATGTAGTTTTTTTGAAATTTTTGATCATTCCAAGGGTTGATATTTCCTTTCGTTAGACTTTAAAGTCTTGATTCATATTCAAAAACAGAATTTGATTGAAGAATGTATTTCATGGCTTTTACAGCTTCATCATACTCTGATGATGAAAATTTACCATTCTTTCGCATCCATTCCTTTACATTTTGCAATAAATGGTTCCAACATACCAAACTTTTTGTATTATCAAAATAATGGGAGCCATTAAACTCACGATCAGAAATGAATAACTTCCTGGATTTATTAAAATTTTTTCCGCAAACATTTTCTTTTAATGTTTGAAAAAAGTATTTGTGATTTTGTGCTAATCTTTTTTCATGTATAAAAAATGCAAAAGGAACAGTAGGCGAAGAATATAAGTATTTATTCCTTTTTGTTTCCAAACAAACGTGTCGATAAGCTAAGCATGACAAATAATAATTTCCTAAATTGAAAGTTGTGTCATAGTGAAGTGTAATTTCTTTACAAGGTAGTAATTCTAACATTTCTTCCATTTGTGCAACAATTTTTTCACAACACATAAAAATACAGATGTCTGGGTAGCTTTCTATTTTTCGAACAAATGGATGAATGGAATACGCAACAAGATGACTATTCCAAACCTCATCCTTATTATGAAAATTATTTTTTTCAGCATTTCTTGTCATAATATTTGCAACCTGTTTAGGATTTCTTGGAATAATAGAAGTTGAAATATGACCACCTGGGTCATTTGATAAAAGGCTCCTATATGCATCCATGGGTTTATTTTTCCCTTGAGCCAAAACTTGATCAAAAACATAATGCAATGATCTGTAAAAAAAAGATTTTGATTTTGTTGAATTTCCATGACATCTATCAACATATGATTTTTCATTGCCCAAGTAATGAATCAATGCTTTTTTTCCATTTTGCAACATATATTCATGCTTTTCAAAATTGTTAGTATATGTTTTACCAACTCTTGCGTAAATATATGTCTTAGTGATTAAACCATTTCCTAATGCACAACTTTTTTTGTTCCTCCACATATAGCCATCTGCTCGCAAATGCTTTTTTAATGTTTTGTCACTGGAAATTGTAAACCCATAAATTTCTCCTGCTTTGGGACGAACAGGTATAGTTTCATCTCCATTATTAAAATAAGTAGCATTTTGTAATAGAGTCAGAACTTCATTAAAGGTAAGTGTCTCTGTTTTTTTAGTTATGGCAGGAGTTGCTGCAGTTATGTTCAAAGTTGCTTTTGAATTTTTTGATGTCACAGATTTTTCTGATGTCATGAAAAGTGGAATAAAAACTTTGTCAGAAGTTTCATTATGCATATTAACCTCAATTACATTTTGATATTTAAGGCTCGCATTTTTATTTAAATAAGCTATTGATGTTTTATCATTGATTGTATTAGAATAAGATTGATCAACAGGTATTATTTGCAATGCATAGTTGTGGTCATTTTGAAACACAAATAGAAATTGGTGTCTGAAACTTTCTAAATGTTGAAGGGAATATTTCTGCTCATAAAACAAAGATCTTTCTTGTTGGTTGGCCATAAATTTGAATTTTGAGAAAGAAATGTTCTTTTTCATAATTTTCAATTTTGAGATTCATTCAAAGATACAAAATATAATTCAGAAAAAAATTGGTAATTTTTTTTGTTGATAAATTTAAGTAAAAAAATAACAATAAAGGTAATAAAAATAATATTAAATACTTAGTAAAAACAAATACACATTAAAGGCATACATAAATTAAATTGTTATGGTAAAAACTGTCATATTTATTTGGGAAAATTTTTGTAAATGTTATCATCTACATCTAAAAATTATCATCTACATCTTAAAAATTTAATAAAACCTACATCTTATTATGATTTCCAAAAAAACATAAAAAAAGTTTACACTATTCTATTAGCTTCATATTAAAATTGATTAAGATATAGGTCAATTTATTTTATCTTTTCTCAGAAAACTACATTCTAATTAACAATTTAAAAACATTGCCCTAATCTTATCAACTCCAGATTAAATTTATTTAAAAACATAAATAAAAACTTGTATGTGTAACAAGTGAAGACTTTGCAACGTTATGCAAAAATAGTGTCACAATTCAGAGAACTAATGAAAGTTTTGCATTCTAAGAAAAATATTAATCCACTGGAAACTATGCGGATTAGAAATTACTTAATTTCAGAATCAAAAACTAATAAAGGAGTAGTTAAATTTCACAAATCTTTCATATATTTATATATATATATATATATATATATATATATATATATATATATATATATATATATATATATATATATATATATATATATATATATATATATATACATTAGCATTATTAACAAAATAGTAAAAATTACTGAAAAAACTGATGCTAACATTTAAAAATATATAATAGTCATAGTAGTAGTCAAACTGTAGCTGCGTTAACAGCAAGTGAGTTAGAAATTTAATTTGACAGCTTTTGAAAATATACTGCAATATAACTTATATATAACAAAATATAACTTTCAATAATATAATGCAAAAGATGAATAGTTTAAACAAAAAATAGTTTTTAAGTTAACTTTTTTGATACTAAATATTTGTCTAATTTTCTATTGAAACTGTTTACATTTGTTTACTTGACAACTTCCAATGGCAATGTGTTCCATAAATTTTCTGTTCTGTTTATAATAAATTCATGCCTAGAAGTTTATTTTCCAATTTTAACAAATTATTAAACTTCATATACTAATTCTTTTTTTTTCTATACAGTAACGAACTCTCTTCTCACTAGACAGTTTTACAATAATAATTTGAATAGAACATACCTTTAGGTACTTTCCTTCATATACAGCACTTTGCAAAGCTCAAAGCTTCTCCCAATGCTTGCATTCCTTGTCATTTTTCTAAACATAACCAAACAAGCAAAAAAAACAAATTAGAATACTTATTAAGACTTCATTGAAGTTTCTTCAACAAGCTTTAATGAATTTTGTTGCTAAACTAACTACTCTATATTTACTTTCAATAAAATAAATATGTTTAGCAATCGTTTTAGCTTATAAAAGGAAAATATGGCTGTTAAAAGTACTTGAGGTTTGTCAAACTGATGGGTCAACCATACTATTAAAACATTAAAGTTTAATGTCTTAATATTTGTTAGCTAACACAGATTAAAGATTAATTAATCTTTAATCTGTGTTAGCTAACACAAAATAAAGAAACAAATAGAAAGAAAAACAACGAAAATTTTACTATTTCCTATTGTTGTGATAACAGATTTTTATCTTACTGTGCATGTTTAGCATTAGTGACAGGTTTTCCCCTTATTGTGCAGCTTCCGCTAAACTTACTTTATTGTTGCAGGCCACTATTATTTTGGTATACAACACATAGATGGCATAGCAATACAAAACTTATTGCTACATTATATTTTTTAATTTTACATGTTTTGAATTTTATAAAATTCAAAACATTAATTTAAACTAATAATGCGGGGGTTGACTACCGGTTGTTCTTTGCTCTCATTCCGTTTTTTATTCTGTTACTCCAAGATGGTTTTTCGGCATTTCGGCTTTTCGGCGTTTTAGAATTCGGCGTTTTAGAAACTCTCTATTTATAGTGATTTAAAAAAAATCTTTACATTTAAAAAATGTATAAGAGAAGAATGTTTTTAGATTATGAAAAGCATGAAAAATATACAATAACTTTTAATATTAATTCAGATATAGAACATAGAGCAATAAATGATAGACATATTAAAGTATTTGCACAAGAAGATTTTACAGTAAAATTAAATTCATACAATAACATTTCTTTAATGTGTGGAGCCAAAATAGATAAAGGACATGTATTGATTTCACTTGCAAAAAGTATAAACCTACTCTAAATTTACTAAATTCTGTTGTAATAGAGTCTACTGATGATATTAAAATAACTTTATATAATAATGATAATAAAGATATAGACATTAAAAAAGGAGATTTGTTATGCTGTATTTCATCTTATAATGGTGTTTTTAGTACAAATTATATATCAGAACTTGATAAAAAAGTAGAACAAGTTAGGTCTCAAAAGGACCCAGGCTCTGCTAGACTACAAAGTGATAAAGAATCTGTAAAATCTATATTATCAAGTATTGGAGAAATAATTAAAGAAACTATATGTGATGAAGATAAACCTAGTCTAGATAAATCTGACAAAGCTCTATTTGATTTTGGTAAATAAAAGTGATTTAAAACAAATTTTTCTTTATAGAAAAAAGAAATGCAATGTAATAATGAATGTAAACAGCTTTATCCAGATCTTAACCAGTTTTCAGAAAATCCATCTGCACCACCACTATCTGATCAGAATTTTAGATTAGTTAAAATAAATGAAATTGAAAATAAAATAGAATGTGAAAGAATTAGAAGAGAGATCTTAAGTAAAAAGTCACAAATCTTTAAGAATAGTTTCAGCTATCGATAATTCATTACTAGCTAGCACAATGACACTTGGAGCTGTTGGTATTGGCTTTTTAACAACAATAGTTGGATCACCAGTAGCTATTGGATGTGAAATTGCAGCATTAGGTATGGGTGTATTATCATTAATAGGATCACAAGCTATTAAAAAATTAACAATAAAAGCAGAAAAGCATGAAAAGATTAAAGTACTAGCTGATGCAAAACTAAATACAATAAGTAGTCTTATTTCTAAAGCTATATCAGATCAATATATTAATGATGCAGAATTTAATATGATACTTTCAGAACTTGAAAAGTTTCAAGCTATGACTGAACAAATTAGAACAAAATCTAAGAATGATATAGATGAGAAGACTAAAGAGTCAATATTTAATAAAGGAATAGAAAAAGGTACAAATGATATTATAGAAGCGTTAAATATGAGATTTAACAAGAATCAAAGTATAGGAATGATGAATAATACTCTTAAGAATTAAAAACATATATTATGTATTTACTTGAACATAATATCCAGATCACAGAGTGATTTAAAAAAAATATTATTTATATAAAAATGTATGTAAAGGCTACAGATATTGATACAAGATTAAAAATAGCAAAAGAACTTGCTAGCGTAAAGAAAAGTATATAACAAGATGATATAAATGAAAAGTTAGGTTATGATGTTTTACAGACTAACTTGGAAAAATTGTACAAACCATTAATAGATAGTCAATCTGGAATAAAAGAAGGTATATCTAAATTAGAAAATAAAGCTGATCAAATAGCTCATACTTTTTCAAATTATCCTGCTTTACTAGATTCTGAAACTAAAGCAATTACAGAGCAAGGAAAAATTATGCCGCCTGAAGTTGTAAATAACATGTCATTAGGAGCTATCGCAACAGAATATTTAAAGTTATATACTACTAAAAATAGTAAAAAAGTATCAGATGACATATTTGGTATACATTACAATGAAGGTGAAAAAAAATTTTACATTGGTAAAAAACCAATAACTATTGAAGGTAATGATATAACTATTGAAGATAAAAAATACACTAGTACACCTGGTCTTTGGGAGATTATAGTAAAATCTCATCCTGTTAAATATACTAACGATGATCGTAATAAGTATAAAGAAATTTTAGATCAAACAGATGCAATTCGCTCTGATTTAAATTCAGCTAAACCGAGATCATCTAGAAGTTATAAGTACACTAATGTAATAAAACCTATTTGGGAAGAGATGATTGGAAAGTTTGGAAAAGGAGTTGTCATTCTTCCTAGTGATCCAAATGCACTATTTGAGATGCTTAAATTACGCTTAGCTGCTTTACAAGCAGGTAATACTGGAGCTAGAAATGAGGCTGTTGCTATTTGTGATGAGTTGTTACGACAGGGTCAAATAGATGACGATGAGTATAAAGCATTACAGAAAGCAATAACTTAAAGTGAATTAAAAAATTATTTTATATATAAAAAATGACAAATTACTATGATACTCTTATAAATCTTTCAGATAGTCAGAAAGAGAAAATTAAAAAAGCAATTGAATTAGGTACAAATGCTAATATAAAACTAACACATCAAGATTTAAATGGTGAACATAAAATAGCTTTAACAGATTCACAAAGAAACAGAATGAAAGCAGCATATTTAAAAAATACTGGTATAACACTTTCACTTAGTAGAGCACAACTTAAACATAATGCTAAAGTAAATGGTGGGTTTCTAACTCTACTAGGAATAATTGGAAGTTTAATTGCGTCAAAAGTTGTTCCGGCTATAGCAACAGGATTATTGACTGGAACAGCTGCAGCTGCTGGAAGTACTATAGTTAATAAAATTGCTGGAAATGGTATTATTTATGTGAAAAAGAATGGTAGTGGATTTAAAATTAGAAAAGTAGGAAAAGGAGTAATTTTAAACCCATGGAATGGTAGTTATAATTATTTAGATGGATATTATTCTAAAAATGGAAATGATTATTCATCTGTAGGTAGAGGCTTGTTATTAGGAGAAAATTCTCCATTTAAGAATATACCATTATTAGGTCTTCTTCTTTAAGTTCCGAAGGAACCCATGCTTCGCTAGAACAAAAAGACTTTGCTAGGTTCCTTTAGAACTTAGGCTTTGCTAAATCTTATAATATATATTTTTTAAAAAATATATATTTATTGATTCCACAACGAAGTTGGATAATAAAATAAATCTAATCCACTTCTATACTTTCCATTTAATAAATCAGAAGACAAATCTATAACAACAAATCCATGCTTTTTTGACCAAGCTTCATTACAAAATTTTTTAAACTCATCTTTTGACATATCACTTGAAACATAATCTTCATAAATATGATCTACATTTTTTAAATCTTGTTTAAACAAGCGTATAAAGTTTGCATTTTCTCTTATAGTTTGCCTTGGTAGCATAAAATAATTTTGTGCAAGGTAGAAACAATCTACATTACTATGTCTTCCTCTTATATAGTACTTTTAGCACTTGTTTTGCTTTGTTAATTGTAAATCATCAAATATCATTAAACTATTTTTAATACAGTTAAGATTTTCAGGTTCTGGTACATCCTCTGCTGTTTCATAAAATTGACACTCTATATCTGTTTTATCTTTTAAATCTCTTGAAATGTTTTTAATAATAAACTCTGGACTTGCATTGTTTTTATTTATTTGATCTTGCAATTTAAATAGTTCAAGAATAACTTCTTTTGGTAATTTATTTTCAAAAGAATTTTTTAATATTTTGTATTCAGGTTGAAAAAGTGACTT